ACTGAGACGGTGCACTGTGGTGTCTATGACAGCAGCACTGGGTGACTGAGATGGTGCACTGTGGTGTCTATGACAGCAGCACTGGGTGACTGAGACAGTGCACTGTGGTGTGTGTGTGTGACAGCAGCACTGGGTGACTGAGACGGTGCACTGTGGTGTGTGTGTGTGACAGCAGCACTGGGTGACTGAGACAGTGCACTGTGGTGTCTGTGACAGCAGCTCTAGGAAACTGAAACCAGATAATGCACATGGCTTGTTTTACTGCAATACTACTTTACTGTGGTGGTCTAACCCCAAGGCCCTGTGATCTCGGGGCCTACCTGGCAGCTCCCCGGGTTTGGCCCAGACTCCTTCTGTGTCAATCGTCGGCATTGAAGCCAGGTGTTTTACGCAGTCGTCAAACATCCCCCTGCCCTGCTCCAGCAGACAGGCCCCCAGAGAGCAGTACAGCGCCTCCAGGAAGCAGCACTCCAGAAAGTCGGGGTCTTCTATCTCTCCCTCGAGCAGCGCGTCCAGCATCTTGGTTAACTGGGTTACCTGGTGCACAGAAAAAAACACCTGGCTGAGCTCACAAGACACCACACAACGGGGACACCTCCAGGAGCAAGTCCTGGCATCCCAGACCCCAGAGAGACGGGAACTCTAAGAAGCAAACCCCAAACCCGGTGCTATCACATCGATTCCCGCTCACGGGGACGCCCGTGTATGCAGAGTACGGCTGTGCTCCTGGAGTGTCCAGTGGCCGTGAGCTTTTGGACGCAGGGCACCAGGCCCGCCCTCTGAGGCACCTCTGGGCGTGCTGGACCAGGGAAGCTCTACTTGAGCCACCGCTTCGGCTCAGAGCGGACAGCCTGACGAGCCTTCCCACAGAGACGCAGGGAAGGGCCGCACAGTCCTTCATCATGACCTGCAGAACGGCAGCGTGCAGATCTGCCATCTCTGCTCCTGTTGAAAGCCCACCGTAGGTCTACTGCTGGGGGAGAAGTTCTTCAGGTCACGGCATTTCCAATGGGTTCATCTGCATGTGAAAGCTGGGACTGGCCTCGATTCCATTATACAAAGCATGAGGAGGGCTGGAGAACGGACACCTCTCAACGGTGGTGTTGGCTAGAGGATGGGGCTGCCCAGGGGCTCTGGGGGAGCAGACTGTCTAAAAGGTGCAGCCGGAGTGCTCCTCAGAAGAGAGAGGAGGGGGGCTGCATCTCACACACTTCGGCATCTTTATAAGGAGGGGCCAGGCCTTGGGAACGGCCCTTGTGCCTGGTAAATAGAGGGTCAGTGACTAAGAGGACGCCGGTCAGCTTGGGTCGCTGCACATCGAGGATGACTCGGCGGCTCCCGCAGCTGCAGCAGCCGGGGTGCTTTCTTACCATGTTGAGGTCCGTCTGAGGAACTATGGTCTTGAGTCTCTCTCCTTGCTTCCCATCCACTAATCCTTCCACTATCATATCGATGAGGTAGGGCACGTACTTCTCAAAGAGCTGCTGCAAGTCGCCTTGCTCTGTCTGTGAAGAGAGTGAGTTCCCAAGGCGTTTCAACGGCTCATGGAGTCGTCCAGGCAGTGGGTAACCCCTGATCATAAGGCCTCATCTTTGGATTTGCCTTTGGAGACTAAGGTGCGTCTGATACAGGCCATGATCTTTGCAATCACTTGTTATACATCAGAGAGTTGAACAATGACTAGGGAGGACAGAAGGAGAATTGATGCCTTTGAGCTGCAGTGCTGGAGAAAAGTATTGAATGTACCATGGACCGCTAAGAGAACAAACAGGTTCATCCTGGAAAGGGTGAAGCCGGACTGCTCCTTGAAGACAAGGATTCTGAGGCTCCGTCTAACATACTTTGGACATGTTGCAAGGTGGGACCAGCCCTTGGAGAAGGACGTCATGCTTGGGAGGGTGGAGGGACAGCACAGGAGAGGAAGACTCTCTATGAGGTGCTTCAATTCAGTCACTGGGGTAATTGGGGTGGGTGTGCCAGAGACAGTGAGATTGGCACAGGACAGAGCAGGGTTTAGGGCTGTAGTACACAGGGTCGCTATGAGTCACAAGTGACTCGACAGCATATAACAACAATGCATACTCATTTCTCTAGGAAGCATTTCCATTCATGCCCTGGGAGGGGAAAGGTGGTATAATAGAACCCATCTGACAACAGTGGGACTGGTCACCATAATGTCTCAGTGACAGGGCCACAGCCACCTGGCAGAATGTGAGAGGCAGTGAAAGGGCTCTGCTGATTGGCGACAGCAGGGGTCACGTGAGCCCTCATGTGACCACTGCCATTGAGTTGATCTGGCTTCACCGTGACCTGACAGGAGAGAGACCTGCCTGTAGGATTTCAGAGGCTCGAATCCCGGTGGAAGCAAACAGCCTTATCTTTCTCCTAAGGAGTGCACAGTGAGTTTGAACCTCTGAACTGTTGACTAGAAACTCAGTGTTTAATGCCCCATGCCACCAGGGTTCCTCCTGTATGATTGTGCCCCAAACAGTCTTATCTTCTCTTTGTGCCCTGGTTTCCAACCCCCTCACCCCACCAGCTTAATCGCCTTGTAGAGGACACTGGTGTGGTGGCCTGAGAGTGGTCAAGCCATCATCTTGCACAAGGAACTGTTTCATTCATCTCCATGCCTTTCACTGAAGCCTACTGTTGGAGAAGACAGACTTTCTAGCAGCCAGATGACCTCCCATCACATGACTAGGGGTCTACCCTTTCCACGTTGTCCTCAACTTAGGGAGCAATGTGGGGGCCACACATCTCTCAATTGCTGGTTCTGTCCAGACAGGGGCTCGAAAACTATGTTCTGAGATACAGCTGGTCTGCCATCTGTTTTTGTAAAATAAAGTTTTCCTATCAATAAACAAATGGATAGAGAAGCTCTGTTATATTCACACAATGGAATACTATGCAGCATTGAAAAACAAGGAATTAATCAAATATTATGAAAAATGGGTGACCCTGGAGGACATTATGCTGAGTGAAATACCTCAGTCACGAAAGGACAAATATTGCATAGGGCCACTGTTGTAAAACGGAACTGACATCAGGGTTGAGGGAAGACAGAGAACGAGGTGAAGAATGATGTATACTGCATTGAAACAGATGAGGGAGAGAACTGTTTAAAAGGGTTATATGATTAGGTATTATTGTCATAACAGGAGTCAGAATGAAGGCTGCACAGTGAAGTGGACTTGGGGGGAGGGACTGCATAACAACGAAAGAATTTTTCTTTTTCTTTTCAAGGAGAAGCGGTACTGGAGGGGAAGGGTGGGCAAGGAGAAAAGTGCAACGATGAATGACTGGAAACCCTAAGTCTCTGTAAACTTTCATTAAAATTAATTTTAAAAGATTAAATAAAGTTTTATTGGTACCCAGGTCTGTGCATTCAATTCTATATTGTTTATGACTGCTTTTATAACAATGGTACAGTTAGACAGACACAGAATCAATCACCTCGCTCACAAAGCCTGAAATGCTTAATCTTTGCCCTTTTACAGAGATTCCCTAGTCCCCGGCCTAGGCCCTGAAAATCATGACTAGCCCGTCTGTTAAGAATGATACAGAAATATTATGATTTCCACGTTTTTAATCCACCATATGGGCAACTATGCTTGTTCAGGTTCATGAAGAGATAAAGGTCATTGCCTCCAATTGCAAACATCCCTCTGGATTCTATGCACCCAGCCACCCAAGTCAGGATTCACTTTAGAAATCATTCTCACCTTGTTTTGTATTTTATTAACCCATTTTTTCCAATAGGGTTCGTACTTCAAGTTTTTAGGATCCACATACACCATCCCGCATCGTGACACGGTTGCGGGAGAGGCATACTGTAAATCTCCAACCTAGAAAAAGAAAATCAATCATTTCTACAGCTTGTTTGGTTAGGGAACTTGTTTTTTCCCCAACTGTATGGAATTTAAGTCGTCGTGGACTAAGATCGCTTTCCTGAGAGACTCCTAATTGAGAACTTAGGTTTGTCCTCAAAGATTATACATTCATGATATCACACCTTTTTTTTAGCTTTTTCTTCCTATAAAATTAATATGAAAAATGAATATAATGTAGGATCTCTGGCAAAACCAGTAAAATATAAAGAAAGCCAATGATTAGAAATCCCACCACACAAAATGGAACAAGCAGGATGGTTCGCACCCTGTAAAGACTGTCACCATGTCACCGAGAAAGTTAATGCAGAAATTGGTGACTAGGGACCTAAACTGCTGTGTGATTTAAAACCTCTGAAAATTCACTGGAGGGTCAGCTGTGGGTAAGTTCCAACTCGACAGCATATAATAATAACATTTATTACTACTTCAGCCAGACCCACTGCTGTCATTTCTGACTCATGGAGACCCTACCCTGTAGGACAGAGCCAGTCCCACCTTACCCTAAGGGGTAACTAGTGAGATTGAACATCTGACCTTTCGGCTAAGAGCCCAAGAGGTAACCCACTGCAGTACAGGGGTCCCGTTCCTTGGACAGACATGTAAAGTATCAAATGAAAAGCTTGCCTTGACAGTTCACTTTCCTACTACTTGCCTCAAAGAGCAGAGCACAGTGGGCTTGAAGCCGGATTCGCTCCCCGTTGGCCAGCGTCAGCAGTTTGTTGTCGTCCATGACAGAGTTCATGTTCTCCACCCACAGAGCGTCCACGTCACCATCAAATAAGATGTACCTGTGGCCAGCAGAGAACGGTGAGAGCCGCCAGCTCCAAGCCCCCGGGTCCTGGTGCCCAGAGGCCGGAAGGCATCTCACCTGGCCCAGACCTCAGCCCCGCCTGGGGTCTATATACCTCCTGTTGCTTTGCTTTTGATGATACGAAGCCATTTTAATTAGCAATTTAAAATAAAATCAATAAAGTAAACTATCAGGACATCAGCATAAATCTCTGGACAAAGGATCTGGTGGGCTATGAATGTTCTTGTTGTTCTTGTTCTTGTTATTGGGTGCAGTCAAGCTGCCTATGGCTGAGGTCGATTCTGTGAACAGCTCTGCACCCTGCCCCGCTGCACGCCCCATCGTGGCTGGCCTCACACTCACCGTCACGCTCACGAACATCGTTGGAGTCACTGGTTCAACTCTCTGGTTGGCTTGGTCTTTCTCTCTCTTGTCAACCCTCTATCTTTCCCTTCATGATTTCTTTTTCCAAGAACAGGCCTATTCTGAATATATACCCAAAGTATATACCACTAACAAAGAAGTTAAAATGTCTTTTTCTTTTTAAAAATATTCTTTTTACTGTGATTTGAGTGAAAGTCTACAAAGCCTATTGGCCTTTTACGCCATCATTCATAGATATTTTGTTTTATTGCCGCATTATTTACAAAAGCAAAGAGAGAGAAAGAAGTCAAGCATCCATCAGTGGATGGTGGGTTGAAGAAAGGATGGCAGCCTCACACAGTGGAGCCCATACCACCACCAGAGGATGATAAAAAACTCACAAAGCACAGCGTTACATAGATGGATGCAGAGGACATGAGTGCAGGAAGTCACCAGAGAAGGGCAAATGTTATATAAGAGCAGTGTTTTTAAAAGTTAATGTTTCCTACACATAGAGAATCATTTCTGGATACTTAGCACAGTTGGGAAGGGGGAGAGAGGTGACAGACACATATTAAGATTGTTGTTGTTGTTGAATGCTGTCAAGTCAAACACCACTCATAGTGACTCTATGAACAAAAGACCTAATGCCTTTCCATAACTGTCGTCATTTCTCCAAGTTCAGAGAGTTTCCAGAGGCTTTTGGTTTAGGAAGTGGATGCCGCTCCTGCTTCCAAACCTGTTTTACAAATGGGAGCTCCACCCAACACTGTCCACATTGGGAAACCATTCCGGTATTCGCTACCCCAATGGCACAAGGTTCAGCATCACAGCAAACCCACGTTATGTCATTACAGCACGTTGACAAAGAAGGATGTACAAGGTGGAAGAGTGTTCCTCCAGGTACAACAGCACTAGTTTCACTTAGCAGTGGTTAAGTGTCATCAAGTCGAACACGACCGAGAGTAAGTTTTGCACTTTGTTCTATGATTAACCACATTTCTGTACAGAACTCTTGTTCTATAACTACCATAATTTCTGTACATTTATAGACTTTAGAGAGTTTGTAGAGTTTAGGGAGTTTGGAGAGTTTCCAGAGGCATCTAGTATAGGAATTGGAAGCCACTCCTGCTTCCCAGCATAAATCAGTCTGGAAGCTCATCCACACATTGTACTTAATGGTTTAACATTATGGTATTTGACAAGACAACAGAACAGTGTACAGCATCACAGCAACACCAAGTTGTTCAGTTCAGCAAACAAACAAAAGATTGCTGTGTCATTCAAGACAGAGGGAGAAAAAGGTACATTCAATAAGGTGACACTATTTAATATTCTAAAATTAAGCACAGTATTGGTTACTCATAGGACATTGAAGAATGAGAAGACAGCATGAAAAATCTGGATTTCCCGCTTCGATGGTTCACTTGAAGGTCTGGTAGTGCAGATCTGTACCCCACATGGGAACAATATGCAGAAGTTGGGGGGTGCTGCCCCATTGGAAACAGGGGGTGCGCTGCCGAGAGCATTCTGGTCCACCCCACCCCACTCTGTCAACCCAGTGCCACGTGTCAGCGGCCATTCAGCATGGATTCTGCCACTCTAGATTTCTTATGGCAAAGTCAAGAGGGACAGCAAGTATTCTGAGGAGGTACCCAGAGGGCCTGACCCACTTCACTCTTCTCTGTTTACCCAGGGACCCCGGAAACCCCCAAGTTGATGGCCTTCATCTGTCCTGACTGCCCGTCTTCATGTCTTCCTTGTCTCCAGATGGTCCTGAAGTCAACCATCCACTTCAGTGAGTCACAGCACAGCAAAGCCCTTGTCCATGTAAGACACAGAGGAAACTTTGCTCATTAGCTGTGCTTCCATATTTCTTCCAATGAACTCACTGGGCTAAGCCATCAGCTTCTTTGCAGTGATTAACATTTTGGTTTATTGCCCACCAATAACTTTTTCCTCTTTTTAACTTTTCCTTTTTAAATAATTTCACACTTATATAAGAGTTAAAGCAATAGGATAATATGAAGAACCCACATCTGCCTTTCACCCAAATTCTCTAATTGCTTCTTCTTCCACCTTTGAGGACTCTCTCTCTCTTTATTCTCAGAATTATTTGAGAGTAAGGAGCACTATAATGTCCCTGTATTCCTAATTATATCAGGACACATTTCCTAAAAGTAATCTCCACCTTACATAACTCTAGAACAATGGTCAAATTTAGGAGATGTAGCGTCAGTGTGGTCCTATCATCTAACACACAGTCCATACTCAAGTAGTCCTAAGATTTCCTAAGAATTGGAGATCATGTTGTCAAATGTGCTAAGAAAACATGTTTCCACTTTATAACTCTCGTGGGAATAGTACATTCAAGCTACAGCAGCAATAATAGATGGCAGAAGCCACTGTGTGGAGGGTTGATAAGAAATGGGCAATTCAGGGTGTGTCCTCATAGATTGGCTATCAGTTTCAAAGAAGATGACATCAACTTAATCGATGCTCTCGCCAACTGCAGGGCAAGACAATTGAAGACACACGCAGGGATGACAGGGCGTCACCACTGTGATGCTGTTGCCATGGCTGCAGAGGGCTCTGGCCGTGAGGGAGCACCAGGCACACCCAGAGTGAGGACGATCAAGGGATCAGCTAGTCTGGACTCCTCCCCATAGCCAAGGCCATGAAGGTAAAGAAAGTCTATGCACACCCATGTTTATGGCAGCTTTGTTCACAATAGCAAGGAGTTGGAAACAACCTAAGTGCCCATCAATAAACCAATGGCTAGAGAAGCTGTGGTATATTCACACAATGGAATACTATACTGCATTGAAAAACAAGGAACTCATGCAATATTATGAAAAATGGGTGACCCTGGAGGACATTATGCTGAGAGAAATATCTCAGTCACGAAAGGACAAATATTGCATAGGGCCACTGTTGTAAAACGGGACTGACATCAGGGTTGAGGGAGAACAGAAAAGGAGGGGAGGAATGATGTATACTGCATTGAAACAGATGAGGAAGAGATCTGTTTAAAAGGAATATATGAATGGGTACTCTTTTCATTACAAAAATCCAGAGTGAGGGCTGCGTAGTGGAGTGGACTTGGGGGGAGGGATTGCATCACAATGAAAGAGTTTTTCTTTTTCTTTTCAAGGAGAACAGAGAATTAGGGGAGAGGGGGTGGGCAGGGAGAAAAGTGCAACAATGAATGTCTGGAAACCCTAAGTCTCTGTAAACGTTCATAAAAATTATTTTTAAAAATAATTAATAAAAAAAGAAAGAAAGTGTAAGGGGTTTCTCATGATTCAAGGCCACTGTCAAGGGCTGGGCTGTCTCCAAAAATATGTGTCACAGCTGGGCCATGAACCTCAGGGGTATGGCAGTTACACAATGTTGCAATCATACCTCTTCATGTGACGGGAAATGATCGGAAAATCTGCTGTGCCTTTCTAGTCCTGGCTCTGGACACAGCCACTGTCATGATGGTGATACCCCCCAAAAAGAACCAGATTGCCGTATATGAAGTCCTTTTTAAGGAGGGGATGATGGCCAAGAAGGATGTCCACATGGCCAAGCACCCTGAACTGGCAGACAAAAATGTGCCCAACCTTCATGTCATGAAGGCCATGCAGAGTCTCAAGTCACGAGGTTATGTGAAGGAACAGTTTGCCTGGAGACATTTCTGCTGGGGTCTTACCAACAAGGGTATCCAATATCCACGTGATTACCTCCACCTGCCCCCTGACATTGTGCCCAGCACCTTGCACCACCGCCGTCCTGGGACTGGCAGGCCGTGACCTAAAGGTCTGGAAGGTGATCGACCTGCAAGATCGACTCAAGGGGAAGCTGACAGAGACACAGACAAACGGAGCACAGGGCCTCCTGGTGCCGACAAGAAAGCTGAGGCTGGGCCGGGTCAGCAGCTGAATTCCAGTTTAAAGGCGGATTCGGTAGTGGATGTGGTCAGCCACCTCAGTGAAGTTGGAGGGGAGTGTTTTGTGTTGAATAAACATGTAGCCAGAAAAAGAAAG